CTGTCATTTCCCAGGAGAGGAACTCCACAGGAACGAGAAGAAACTCGACAGCGCTGGTTCCACGCCATCCCAAACACCCTCCTCATGGAAAAAAAAAAAGAGTACACACAGTTCAGGCATGGCTACAGCAAACACAGCAGCCAGAAGGCTTTGATGTGCAGAGGAAGAGTGGAATCCCCCAATGTGACAGATGCTTTATGGTCATTTATATGTGGCAGCAACTCATATTCACCAGGGACAGAAGTGCTGAGTCAGGGCTGGCTAATCCAGTTGGTTGGCAGCTGCCAAAACAGATTTGTAGAAAGTTGAGAATATGTGATTAAAAACTGTCTCAGCCATAACTACTCTGGTATCAAAAAACTCTTAATACTCCACTCTTAACCCACTGATTTTAAGTAGTAAAATGCTTTAACTGATAACTTTCCTGATCTGTGAATTTAGAATGACATTTTCTAAATATCAAATACAGGCTCTAAACAGCCCTTGGCTGCATCAGGAACTATACTCCAGAGCTCTGAGAATAAGGCAGTGACCACACAAGCAGAGCCAAAACCTGACTCAAACTGAACACAGCCCCACTTTTATGGCAACCTTAGGAAAAAAAAAACAACAAACCAATAAAATAAAATAAGTGGTTTTTGTTGTTTCAAATTGCATTTGAGCAGAAGAGTCTGTGTGTGCCACAATCCAATTTCACTGCTCACTATTTCTCTGCAGCAGTGATCAGTGGCAAACCAGTGCAGGTTTCTTCTAAGTTAATGCCTTTATCTGGTGCAGGAGATTAAAAAATAATAATAACAATCCCAATACAAGAGAGACTGAGCAGGTGACTCAAGAAGGGATGAAATTTCCACGATGCTCGATAAAAATCCGCCTGGTGTTTACGGGCAGGTTCTGCCATTAATTTGGTACATTCCTCGTCCCCTGTGCTTCCTGTTAAAGAAAGCTACTGCTCACAATCCTGCCTGGAAAACCCAAAACAAGCCAGCTTTGGAATGGCTGCACAAGGTCATGTTTGATCTCCCTGGGAGGACAGACATCCAGCTATTCATCCCGCGGGAGCGGCGTGCGGAGGGTGCTGGGCTGAGCACATCCATGAGCTCCCAGCTCAGCTGCCAAACAAGAGCCTCCTTCCACAAGGCCCTTCCATCAACCACCCTTTTGTTCCCCTTCTGCAAAACCAAGGATTAGTTAAAAACTCCGTTTGGGGCACTTGCGTGAAAAACCACGAAAAGCCAAGCCCTGTGAATGGTTTGGGTTGGAAGGGACCTTAAATCCCGTCTTATTCCGACCCCTTGCCATGGGCAGGGACACCTTCCACTAGACCTGGTTGCTCCAAGCCCCATGCAACCTGGCCTTGGACATTTTCCTAAATCTCACCACCAAAGCTATTCAGAGTCACTCAAAAATACTCAGACAAAAAGCCCACGAAGGAAATCTCAGTAAGGATCAGCTCCAGCAAATTATCCCCCTAACACAGCTCTTATTTCCCAGCTCCCTTCAGGACACCGACTTCCACAGCCACACAAAAACTCGATGTTCTGATGCAACCAAATTCCAACAGCTAACCAAAACAGGCCAGTCTTATGCTATTCCAAGTGCTTCCAGAAAACATCGTGGACTGCAGACGCCCGTGTTTACACAGCTCCTGATGTGACCCTGTTATCAAACCAGCCTGGCACAAATTAAGACCACAAAGCCCTACTGAAAAGCTGCAGGTTCACTGACAGGTCACGCTGGTGTGAAAACCCATCCAGGGAAACATCCAACCACACCGTGGGAGTTTACCTGGGATGGGATCTGACCAGCCACTTCCTAGTGCTGGAGATTAAATTCCATTTACAGTTTCTAGCCTCGTGTCTAATTTTCTGCTCCAAGACACCCGTCAGCTGGATGTTTCTGCATTAACACCACACACACACACACACACAGAGCATCTATTTCAGCATGAAACAGATGCATGAGCAAATTTCATGCCATTTTTAAATACTGGTTTGGGATTTTCATGTTTATGACTAAGGTGGGCAAACAGAAAAGACAGATTAAATTTGAGAGAGTGGGGACAAAAATACACTGTCAGCACATTATCAAGTTCTAGTGAGTTCCTAATCTTCCTTATCAGAACCTCTTTCCAAAGCCAGTAATTTAAGAGAGCTTGGTATGATTCTTTGAGAGATAAATTATTCCAATGGACCATAATTGGCTTAATAATAATATCCTCTATTAAAAAGGAAAAAAGCTTTCCCGCCACAGATAACTAACACATTAGGATTGCAATGGAAATCACTTCCAAGACTGCCAGACCCAAACTTGGACCTATTTACACATGCTGGGAATAGACAAGAAGAGTTCATTTACAGATGGTTTCTCCCCCAGCCTGAAATGCATTTTGGGGGGAAAAAAAAGATAAATATTAAAACAACATCAACAATCCAGCACTTACCAGCAATCCTACAATCAACCATTGTGTGCCTTGTGACAGACAAGAGAAATAAAACCCACAAACACCAAGAAAACACAGCTCAGTTTTAAGCTTTCATGGTAGTAATGAAAAGCAAAGTGGGCAGGAAAATTTTAGAAAAGCCTTAAATATTCTTCTGTAACTTAATAGTGAAGAGAAATATTTGCTTAACCTCCGCCTTCACCATCCAAAAAAGAGCCAGTTACTCTAAAAGCTACCAAATGCCCCAAGAAGAATTTGAAGCATGAACCACCACCACCAGAAAGCATCTGGGGAAGAGGCAGATGTCCCACAGTCAGAGGCTGCCCGGCTTAGACATCCCAAAAACAACTGTGCTGGAGACACTGGTGACTCATTATTAGCGAAGGAGCAGAGAAACCACTTGAAGAAGTGAGGGGAAAATTCCATGTTAATTTAAGAGCACTCTCTAGCAAACCTTCCCCGAGCTCTGCAACATAAAAACAGTTGGACAGTCACTAATAAATGCATTTTGTAAACACTACTGACAGCACTCAGCGAGCACAAGATGTGCCATCTGCACTGAGACTTACCAGGGACTAAGGGAAATAAAAGTACAGTGTTTACACGTTAAGTCCTTTCAAGAAAAAAAAAGGTTTACCTTACTTTTAAAAATTATCATAACATCAGTGACTTTAAAAAATAAGTTTGCTGTGCGTATTTGTCATCAGAGGCAGTGCCATCTGATTCAGTATTCCCTTGATACAGTTCCTCCCTGTTGCAAGGCTTTACAAAAACAAAGAGCAAACCAATGACCTAGAAACAAATGTGGCCTCTCAAACTACTTTAAACTCATTAACTTTATACTTCTTTCAGGCTCATAACGACGTCTAAAACGACTGCCAAAAACCTGGATTTAAACTTGCCAGGCTGCACTAGGAGAAGCTTTGGGTTTATTCCTTATCTGAAACCGTTTCAGGAGTAAAAGGCACATTTTTCATAACCCAAAGAATGGAAGGGGGGGGGAAGAGGGTTGTGGGGTGTTTTTTTTTTTTTTTTTGTTTAAAGGGGATATGTTTACATGGCACAGAGCAGAGCCATGAATTCAAACCAGCTCCGGAAGCGGAAGCTGGATGACATGTCAGCACAGCTCTCCACTAATTACCAGGATAATGAGAAGCAGAATATTTCTTTTTCCACGAAGAGATGACACAAAAAAATACTTCCCTGCAACACAACTAGTTATTTCTTGTCGTGCTGCCTGGTTGTTTCTTGTCATGCTGCCCTGTACTACGCAGGCACACACAAACAAAGCAGCTCAAGGTATGCCGAGTTCCAGGTTTACGGCAGCTGAAATGTTCTTTTTAAAGGATTTAGCGCTGGAATTCCTCGGGAAAGAAGCTGAGTGATCTGTGCACAGCACCGTAGGAGGAAAAAAAAAAATAAAAGAGGAAGGTAAATATGCACCGTGAAAACTTTTAAAAATAACTCCCCGAGGTCATAAGTAACCATTTCAAAGGGGTGGTGGGAACGGGATCCATCTATAAAACTTCAATTTGAACATTAGCAAAGAGCCCTCCCCCAGCAGGAGCAATTACCGCTGCCTTTCATGTGGCACAGGAACACACCTTTCCTTGCACGCTTGGCTGTGTCAGGTCTATTTTAAACACACTCAACAGCACTACAAAGGAAAACATCACACAGCCTCCCTTCCCATGCAGCTGAACATGCAGGTTGCCAAAGGCAGGCTGGAAGATTCAAGGCTTTCTTTAAAAGCCACCCAGCCCTAAAAGCTGCCGAGCATCTGCGACGCGTGAGGAACGTCCCTGATGGATGGGGAAGGTTCCTCATGGATGGGGAAGGTCCCTGATGGATGGGGAAGGTCCCTGATGGATGAGGAAGGAGCTCCAGTGAGAGCAACACACCAGTCTTACCCCTCCTATCCCCCATAACTGTGGTTCTGGCAACACAGATTCACGGAGTCCCAGATGGTTTGGGTTGGAAGGGACCTCAAAGATCACCCAGTTCCACCCCCCTGTCGTGGACAGGGACACCTTTCACACGCACCATTTCAAAAGCATCTACTTGACGTGCTGCACTAACTCTACCTCGTGCTGGAACTCCGTTCCAGCTTCTGAAGAGCTTTAATCTGCTTCTGCCTTTGGCGGGCTATTATTAACCTCGGGGATAAACTTGCACCCTTTTAATCAGGTGCTTTAGCTGGATGCGTTCTGGAAAACAGGTACGGGCAGCAGATATCCTCTACCTCCTCCGGCAGTAACGTGGAAAGGATCACCCGCAACATTCACCAAGTCAAGCCTCGAGCGCAAATCACAGAATCCCAGGATGGTTTGCGCTGGAAGGGACCTTAAGGATCATGGCATTCCACCCCCGGCCATGGGCAGGGACACCTTCCACTAGAACAGGTCGCTCCAAGCCCCGTCCAGCCTGGCCTTGGACACTTCCAGGGATCCAGGGGCAGCCACAGCTTCTCCGGGAAACCTGTGCCCTCGCGTCCAATCCTTTCAAAGACAATTGGGAGCCCCCGGGCCGTGCCAGGGGCGGCCCCCCCGCCGCTCACCTTGTACACGTCGCCGTAGGTGCCGCTCCCGACCCGCTGGATCAGCTCGTAGTCCTGCTGCGGGTTCCGCCTCAGGATGTCCCCGCTCGCCCGCGCCGCCGGCTCCATGTCCAGCGCCGCGTCCCTCCGGGATGCTCCTACCGGCCCATGGCTCCTGCGGCGGGGAGGGGGGTCAGGGGGGCCCGGCCCGGCCCGGCCGAGACAAAGGCGGGCGGGCGGCCGCGCCCTCCGCGGCTCCCGGGGCTCCCCGGGGCCAAGCAGGAAGCGCCGGGGGCGGGCGGGGAGCGGGGCCGGGCGGGCTCGGCGGGGC